GACAGTGTATAGATTTTGATATCATTGGTCCTGGACTGAGACTGTATAGTTTTTGATATCATTGGCCCTGGACTGAGACAGTGTATAGATTTATATATCATTGGCCCTGGACTGAGACAGTGTATAGATTTTGATATCATTGGCCCTGGACTGAGACAGTGTATAGATTTATATATCATTGGCCCTGACTGAGACAGTGTATAGATTTTTATATCATTGGCCTGACTGAGACAGTATAGATTTATATATCATTGGCCCTGGACTGAGACAGTGTATAGATTTTTTCATATCATTGGCCATTGAGACAGTGTATAGATTTATATATCATTGGCCCTGGACTGAGACAGTGTATAGATTTTCATATCATTGGCCCTGGACTGAGAGTAGATTTTTATATCATTGGCCTGGACTGAGACAGTGTATAGATTTATATATCATTGGCCTGGACTGAGACTGAGACAGTGTATAGATTTTCATATCATTGGCCCTGGACTGAGACAGTGTATAGATTTTATATCCATTGGCCCTGGACTGAGACAGTGTATAGATTTATATATCATTGGCCCTGGACTGAGACAGTGTATAGATTTTTATATCATTGGCCCTGGACTGAGACAGTGTATAGATTTATATATCATTGGCCCTGGACTGAGACAGTGTATAGATTTATATATCATTGGCCCTGGACTGAGACAGTGTATAGATTTTGAGACAGTGTATGAATTTATATCATTGGCCCTGGACTGAGACAGTGTATAGATTTGGCTTATATTTGGCCCTGGACTGAGACAGTGTATGATTTATATATCATTGGCCCTGGACTGAGACAGTGTATAGATTTTGATATCATTGGCCCTGGACTGAGACAGTGTATAGATTTATATATCATTGGCCCTGGACTGAGACAGTGTATAGATTTATATATCATTGGCCCTGGACTGAGACAGTGTATAGATTTTGATATCATTGGCCCTGGACTGAGACAGTGTATAGATTTTGATATCATGGACTGAGACGGTGTATAGATTTTCATATCATTGGCCCTGGACTGAGACAGTGTATAGATTTTGATATCATTGGCCCTGGACTGAGACAGTGTATAGATTTATATATCATTGGCCCTGGACTGAGACAGTGTATAGATTTTGATATCATTGGTCCTGGACTGAGACAGTGTATAGATTTTGATATCATTGGTCCTGGACTGAGACAGTGTATAGATTTTGATATCATTGGTCCTGGACTGAGACAGTGTATAGATTTTGATATCATTGGCCCTGGACTGAGACAGTGTATAGATTTTCATATCATTGGCCCTGGACTGAGACAGTGTATAGATTTATATATCATTGGCCCTGGACTGAGACAGTGGTCCATTGGCTCCGAGACTGAGACAGTGTATAGATTTTGATATCATTGGCCCTGGACTGAGAAAGTGTATAGATTTATATATCATTGGCCCCTGGACTGAGACAGTGTATAGATTTTATTTTGGACTAAGACATGTATGGTTTATCATTTTCCTGGACTGATAGTGTATAGATTTTGATATCATTGGTCCTGACTGAGACAGTGTATAGATTTTGATATCATTGGTCCTGGACTGAGACAGTGTATAGATTTATATATCAGTGTGGACTGAGACAGTGTATAGATTTTGATATCATTGGCCCTGGACTGAGACAGTGTATAGATTTTATATCATTGATGAGACAGTGTATAGATTTTGGATATGACCCCAGTGTATAGATTTATATATCATTGGTCCTGAAGACAGTGTATAGATTTTGATATCATTGGCCGAGACAGGGTATAGATTTGATATCATTCACCCTGTCCTGAGACAGTGTATAGATTTATATATCTGGATTGGTCCTGGGACTGAGACAGTGTATAGATTTTGATATCATTGGTCCTGGATTGAGACAGTGTATAGATTTTGATATCATTGGCCCTGGTGGAGACAGTGTAGGGGATTTTGATATCATTGGCCCTGGACTGAGACAGTGTATAGATTTTCATATCATTGGCCCTGGACTGAGACAGAACATAGATTTGGATATCATTGGTCCTGGACTTTTGATATCATTGGCCCTGGACTGAGACAGTGTATAGATTTTGATATCATTGGTCCTGACTGAGACAGTGTATTTGGGACTGAGACAGTGTATAGATTTTGATATCATTAGTGTATAGATTTTGATATCATTGGCCCTGGACTGAGATCATTGGCCCTGGACTGAGACAGTGTATAGATTTTGATATCATTGGTCCTGACTGAGACAGTGTATAGATTTTGATATCATTGGTCCTGGACTGAGACAGTGGATTGGTCCTGGACTGAGACAGTGTATAGATTTTGATATCATTGGCCCTGACTGGAGACAGTGTATAGATTTTGATATCATTGGTCCTGGACTGAGACAGTGTATAGATTTTTGATATCATTGGCCCTGGACTGAGAGTGTATAGATTTTGATATCATTGGCCCTGGACTGAGACAGTGTATAGATTTTGATATCATTGGTCCTGGACTGAGACAGTGTATAGATTTTGATATCATCATTGGCCTGGATTGTGTCCTAGAGTGTATTTGATACATTGGCCCTGGACTGAGACAGTGTATAGATTTTATAGATTTGGACTGGAGACAGTGTATAGATTTTGATATCATTGGCCCTGGACTGAGACAGTGTATAGAGATATCATTGGCCCTGGACTGAGACAGTGTATAGATTTTGATATCATTGGTCCTGGACTGAGACAGTGTATAGATTTTGATATCATTGGTCCTGGACATGAGACAGTGACATAGATTTTGATATCATTGGTCCTGGACTGAGACAGTGTATAGATTTTGATATCATTGGTCCTGGACTGAGACAGTGCATAGATTTTGATATCATTGGTCCTGGACTGAGACAGTGTATAGATTTTGATATCATTGGTCCTGGACTGAGACAGTGCATAGATTTTGGATATCATTGGTCCTGGACTGAGACAGTGTATAGATTTTGATATCATTGGTCCTGGACTGAGACAGTGTATAGATTTTGATATCATTGGTCCTGGACTGAGACAGTGTATAGATTTTCATATCATTGGCCCTGGACTGAGACAGTGTATAGATTTTGATATCATTGGTCCTGGACTGAGACAGTGTATAGATTTTGATATCATTGGTCCTGGACTGAGACAGTGTATAGATTTTCATATCATTGGCCCTGGACTGAGACAGTGTATAGATTTTGATATCATTGGTCCTGGACTGAGACAGTGTATAGATTTTGATATCATTGGTCCTGGACTGAGACATAGATTTTGTATAGATTTTGATATCATTGGTCCTGGACTGAGACAGTGTATAGATTTTGACATTGGTCCTGGTGTATAGATTTTTTTTGATATCATTGATTTTCCTGGGACTGAGACAGTGTATAGATTTTGATATCATTGGTCCTGGACTGAGACAGTGTATAGATTTTGATATCATTGGTCCTGGACTGAGACAGTGTATAGATTTTATATCATTGGTCCTGACTGGACAGTGGTAGACGGTTTGATATCATTGGTCTGGACTGAGAGACATTGGTCCTGGACTATAGATTTATATATCATTGGCCCCTGGACTGAGACAGTGAGATTTTATATCATTGGTCCTGGACTGAGACAGTGTATAGATTTTTGATATCATTGGTCCTGGACTGAGACAGTGTATAGATTTTTGATATCATTGGTCCTGGACTGAGACAGTGTATAGATTTTGATATCATTGGTCCTGGACTGAGACAGTGTATAGATTTTGATATCATTGGTCCTGGACTGAGACAGAGACAGTGCCCTGGATAGATTTTGATATCATTGGTCCTGGACTGAGACAGTGTATAGATTTTGATATCATTGGTCCTGGACTGAGACAGTGTATAGAGATATCATTGGTCCTGGACTGAGACAGTGCATAGATTTTGTATGAATTTATATATCATTGGTCCTGGACTGAGACAGTGTATAGATTTTGATATCATTGGTCCTGGACTGAGACAGTGCATAGATTTTCATATCATTGGTCCTGGACTGAGACAGTGGTCCTGGACTGAGACAGTGTATAGATTTTGATATCATTGGTCCTGGACTGAGACAGTGTATAGATTTTGATATCATTGGTCCCTGACCGAGACAGTGTATAGATTTTTCATATCATTGGCCCTGGACTGAGACAGTGTATAGATTTTGATATCATTGGCCCTGGACTGAGACAGTGTATAGATTTTGATATCATTGGCCCTGGACTGAGACAGTGTATAGATTTTGATATCATTGGTCCTGGACTGAGACAGTGTATAGATTTTCATATCATTGGTCCTGGACTGAGACAGTGTATAGATTTTTTGATATCATTGGTCCTGGACTGAGACAGTGTATAGATTTTGATATCATTGGTCCTGGACTGAGACAGTGTATAGATTTTGATATCATTGGTCCTGGACTGAGACAGTGCATAGATTTTGATATCATTGGTCCTGGACTGAGACAGTGTATAGATTTTTGATATCATTGGTCCTGGACTGAGACAGATATCATTGGTCCTGGACTGAGACAGTGTATAGATTTTGATATCATTGGTCCTGGACTGAGACAGTGTATAGATTTTTGATATCATTGGTCCTGGACTGAGACATTGGTGTATAGATTTTTGATATCATTGGTCCTGGACTGAGACAGTGTATAGATTTTGATATCATTGGTCCTGGACTGAGACTGTATAGTTTTTGATATCATTGGCCCTGGACTGAGACAGTGTATAGATTTATATATCATTGGTCCTGGACTGAGACAGTGGTGAGACATAGATTTTGATATCATTGGTCCTGGACCTGGACTGGAGAGACAGTGTATAGATTTTGATATCATTGGTCCTGGACTGAGACAGTGTATAGATTTATATATCATTGGTCCTGGACTGAGACGGTGTATAGATTTTCCTTATCATTGGCCCTGGATTAGATTTGATATCGTGGTCCTGGACTGATATAGATTGATATCCCTGGACTGAGACAGTGTATAGAGATATCATTGGTCCCTGGTGACAGTGTATAGATTTTTATATCATTGGCCCTGGACTGAGACAGTGTATAGATTTTTATATCATTGGTCCTGGACTGAGACAGTGTATAGATTTTGATATCATTGGTCCTGGACTGAGACAGTGTATGTATAGATTTTGATATTTGATCCTGGACTGAGACAGTGTATAGATTTTGATATCATTGGCCCTGGACTGAGACAGTGCATAGATTTTGATATCATTGGTCCTGGACTGAGACAGTGTATAGATTTTGGATATCATTGGTGGCCCTGGACTGAGACAGTGCATAGATTTTGATTGGTTTGTATATTTTTATATATCATTGGTCCTGGACTGAGACTGTAGATCATTGGTCCTGGACTGAGACATAGAATTTTGATATCATTGGTCCTGGACTGAGACAGTGTATAGATTTTCATATCATTGGCCCTGGACTGAGACAGTGTATAGATTTTGATATCATTGGTCCTGGACTGAGACAGTGTATAGATTTTGATATCATTGGTCCTGGACTGAGACAGTGTATAGATTTTGATATCATTGGTCCTGGACTGAGACAGTGTATAGATTTTGATATCATTGGCCCTGGACTGAGACAGTGTATAGATTTTGATATCATTGGTCCTGGACTGAGACAGTATAGATTTTCATATCATTGGTCCTGGACTGAGACAGTGTATAGATTTTTCATATCATTGGTCCTGGACTGAGACAGTGTATAGATTTTGATATCATTGGTCCTGGACTTATCATTGGTCCTGGATTTATATATCATTGGCCTGGACTGGACTGAGACAGTGTATAGATTTTATATATCATTGGCCCTGGACTGAGACAGTGTATAGATTTTGATATCATTGGTCCTGGACTGAGACAGTGTATAGATTTTGGATATTTTTTCATATGGTCCTGGACTGAGACAGTGTATAGATCATTTTGAGACAGTGTATATTTTGATATCATTGGTCCCTTGAGACAGTGTATAGATTTTGATATCATTGGCCCTGGACTGAGACGGTGGTCCTGGACTGAGACATTTTGTGTCCTGGACTGAGACTGATTTTGATATCATTGGTCCTGGACTGAGACAGTGTATAGATTTTGATATCATTGGTCCTGGACTGAGACAGTGCATAGATTTTGATATCATTGGCCCTGGACTGAGACAGTGCATAGATTTTGATATCATTGGTCCTGGACTGAGACAGTGTATAGATTTTGATATCATTGGTCCTGGACTGAGACAGTGCATAGATTTTCATATCATTGGTCCTGGACTGAGACAGTGCATAGATTTTGATATCATTGGTCCTGGACTGAGACAGTGTATAGATTTTGATATCATTGGCCCTGGACTGAGACAGTGCATAGATTTTGATATCATTGGTCCTGGACTGAGACAGTGTATAGATTTTGATATCATTGGCCCTGGACTGAGACAGTGCATAGATTTTGATATCGTGACCCTGGACTGAGACAGTGTATAGATTTATATATCATTGGCTCTGGACTGAGACAGTGTATAGATTTTCATATCATTGGCCCTGGACTGAGACAGTGTATAGATTTTCATATCATGGCTCCAGAATGAGACAGTGCATAGATTTCTGGTCCGCTCTCTCCAAAAAGTTTGCTAATTTAGATGGACAAGCTTAATGCATTTATTGGTACACAGAGTATGTCCAAAAATAGGAATTTTGAATATTTGAATTTAGATAAGGGGTCGGCAAACCCCAGGTCACATTTGGCCCTCCTCCTTAATAACTGGACTCTAATTATCTAAGTAATTTGTGGAACAAGAGACAGGAAAAAACATATTAGTTCGAGTTAATTAACTTCCAATGTAACACATTTTTTTAAATCAAAATTTCATTCCGAATCCACCGCTGACTTCTCAGAAGAAATATGTTTTGCCAAGCGGGTAATATAAAAGCCTACTGAATAATACGAAAATGATGGTATTAATATTTGGAAGTCCATATGCTTGGAAACAACTTTTTTTTCGAAAATGAAATATGCTAAAAGTCGTTTAAGAACCAAATTGGGTGATGGCCACCGAGTTTGCTCTTGTCATCGTCTAATATATCCCCTGATGTGGAGAAGTTATCGAACAATAAACAGAAACAAGTTGTGGCGGATTTCACCACATTAGATTAGGAAACAGGGCTGACGCAGAAAAGGATAAGCAAAATACATCGTTACACATAGGATGTGTATTTAACAAGAAGTACAATATCAAACAATGATGTGAAGGGAAGCATGCATTTAAGTAAGAAAAGGTTGAAATAAACAAGAGTTGTCTCTTTTTTAATTGTTATTTTAGTGTTCCAAAGTTCATTGGAAGAATGTTTATGAGAGTCTCTTGTAATGATTGCTCTTGAAAGATATTGCTGTGTAAGAAAAGTTTATGTGAGCGTGTACAAGATATGTTCAGCATGTGTGTGGTGCGTGTGAGTGAGAAAATTGGATCATGGTTTCAACTGTCGTGGATTCGTTTGGCAGTTGAATTTCTCACTGATGAGATGAAAAAGACCTTGGCTTACATAAGCGACTGTAGGCTCCATATCGCTGCGTGGGAAGAATTATTCTTCACATGCAAACAATCTAATTGGTTGGCATCGACCAATCAGCGAGTGAGCTTTGGGGAGACTTAAGAAAGCCTCTGTGATCCGCTTCGCCCAAAAGTGCACAAAATTGACTACTTAAAAATAGAGCGATTACAAAATTGTCGCATTCCTGCGATTTGTAAATTGCCTATAACGTATTGGTGATTAATTAACCAATGAATGCTTGGCTTTGTAAGTAATTTGTATTTTTGTATGTATGTATGTTTGTGCGTAATAGATCCGCACAAAGTGCCTCGTTATATAATTTGTCATTTTTAACTGAAATTTCATTACTAGAAAGGAATTTGTACTTTTTTGTTGATTGTGTTGTTATACAATTATTCCTGCAGTAAATAACGAACCTTGTTTAAATAAATTATGTAGCATTAAGTTCGTTGTTTAGCATTAAGTTCGTTGTTTTTTTTTAAACCCCCAGACTAAGGTAGCCTTCTGAAAGGAACGAGAGAATTTGTTACAATACTTTTGATATTATGGCCGCTTGTCTGAGACAATGCATAGATTTCTGGCCCGCTTTCTCCAAATAGGTTTACCGAGTCCTGGTTTAGTGATACAAGTCGTATTTAACCAGTAGGTAGGTGAAAAGAGATGAAATGAATTATGAGAAATTATAATGTGGATATAAAGAGGGGGATCGATTCTAAATTACAATCAGTATATAAACTGATTACTTTGTGGCCACGGTAGTTCGTATACTTTTATATTCCCGAAAATGTAAATAATTCTAAAAGACGTGACAGTTTAGCTAATCGGTATTCCATTGATTGATTCATTCGTTTTCTATGGCATATCAATGTTTTGCAGGTTATTTAAAGCCAGAATATATATTTTAGATGGTAAGAATTTTTTGTAGATATTAACGGCACAAGTCCTACTAATTATTCAATAACTGGGAAGAGGAGGAGGATTCTTATTTTTCTTAAGTATATTTGAGCGTAAGTGAATATAACAAACCCAACGGAAATTAGAACTCGGTACCCCGATTAACAAATCCGAGCCATTATCCATTACACTATCTGCATACCGAAGCTTAGAGTACCCAGTATTCCCTTCACTTCAGTATAATCATTAATCGTAAGAAGATAGAATATATGGTTAACAAAACGAACTACGAAATGGAGTAGCCCAAATCATGCAACTCCGAAAATGCAAATGTCTGGGAATTTTATTTATTTTTTTTTTACAGAGGAGCGATCATGTGGCACAGAAATCCGAAGATAGTTTGGAAGAATGAAAAATAACTTTCAGAAACTAAGTAAAGTATTAAGATACAGGAATATTTCGTTGGAAACAAAGAAAAGATTACTAGACTGTTATCTAATATCGGGTCTCCTATCGGAATTGTTAATGGCAATGAATGCTGGGCAATCTCCTCACAGATGAAGAAGAAACTTGCGCCAAGAAAAAGTAGTTCTACAAAAGAATGCTGAGAATACAAGTGGATTGTTGATGTAACGAGAAAGTTGTAAGAAAAAATTGGGAAAAAAGGGGCGTTTATACTGAAAATCAGAAAATGGTAGTTTGAACACGTAAAGAGAGAAACATGTCTGGTAGAATTTAACACTTACAGGACATATTAAAAGAAAGAGGAAGAAAATGAAACTGTGATTAATGCACCTAACAAGATCGTGTAAATAGATGATAGAAAACGGAGTGGGGGGCATAATGAAAAGATAAAACTTACTAAGCGTTACAAAAAATAGAAAGTTGTAGAGAGCCATGATCGCCGCCATCCTGAAGGAGCACAATACATAGAACTAGAGTTATGAGTTTTGTTAACTTCATACTGAAGGTATTGAGACATTTAGAAGGTAGAGACGCATGTAAAGGCGAATAAAAAAATATGTTCGGTTTTTGGATACAACGTTATAAGTCTTGTGCTAATTTCTTTGAATGACTTGCCTCTTTAATACGAAGGTGATTATGGTGCTACGTAGTCTCAGGCAAAGGAGATATGGTTCTACAGAAGGATGCTAAGGATATCATCGTGTGAGCAACGATGTGGTTTTGGAGAGGATGCAAACAAGAAGGAAGCTTATATTTAATATCAGGAAGTGGCAGCTGGCATTTCTGGGACGCGTAATGAGAAAAGAGGGCCTGGAGAATCTGATACTAACAGGTTGAATAGAAGGAAAGCGAGATTAGGAAAATCAACGCATGACATACCTAGCGTGCTTAAGCAACTGGATGACAGAACATGTAAGACGGCTGTTTCCCCCTTGAAAAGGGGGATGCAGGTTCGAATCGTTCAGGAGGGCACATTTTCTTTAATATGATTTCTCAAGTGTTCGATAGACGAAATAAATACTTTTTGAAATACACTAACAATAATGCTTGCAGTAAAATACATACATACACGCATGCATGCATGCATATATATATATATATATATATATATATATATATATATATATATATATATAGTTTATGGCTTTCAGTCTTCTTGACTTGATTACTTTTCTGTTGTTTTCAATCTTTAATCCCTTGTATCTTATTGGCTTTACCACCTTTCATGGGGTGAAATCGATTAAAATTATATATATATATATATATATATATATATATATATATATTATTTAAAGTAAATTTCTGTTTATAATAAATAGTATCAAATAACATTTACCGGCCTGAATGTCCGAGAAATCTTCATAGAAAATGTTCGTCCTTTGTGGCCGAGTGGTAAGGCACGTCAGGATATATGACGGTTCCGTATAGGATTCAGGTTCGAATCCTGTCGAAGGACGATTATTTTCTATGAAAATTTCTCGGTCATTCAGGCCGGTAAATGTTATTTAATACTGTTTATTATAAACAGAGCATTTACTTAAATACTTGTATCTGTAAAAAGAATGTTAAACATAAAAATGTCTTTATATATATTCCCCGATTATATGCCAACCATTTAAATAATAATAGCAATTAAATTTTAATACTAATGGTCCTGGAATCATCCGATTCAGTCTTGCGTATTTCTGCAGAAAATCAAAGATTTGATATAATTTTTCATTATCTTCCCTTTTTTTAATTCATTCTTCCCTCCTTTTTTTTTTTTTTTTTTTTTTCATTATCGCCTTCTTTATTTTTATTCCATTTCTTTCTTTCTTTCTTTCTCTTTATTGCTCTTCCTATCTTTTTTCTTTCGTTCTGTTTTTCTTTCAATCTTTCTTTCTTAATAATTATCTTTCTTTTTTTTCTTTCTTTCTTTTTTATTTCATTCATTCTTTCTTTTTTTGCTTACTTCCATTCTTTCTTTCTTCGTTCTTTTATACTTATCTTTTTTTTTTCATTTCTTTTTTCCGTCTTTCCTTCTTTTTCTTTATTTTTTTTAATGGCATACATTTTTCTTTCTCTTCTTCTTCTGCATCTTTTTTACTTTCTTTCTTTTATTTTTCCACCCTCTCCTCCTACCTCAATAATGACGCTCTCCACATTCTCCCCGCTTTCATCAAGCAAGAATTTCACAATTTTGCCTGCTTATTTACAATTTCTTTTTCATTCAGACTCAAAATACTCCCCTTATTCCGTTTATTTGCTTTAATTCGTTTATCTGTTTTCCCATTCATCCTTTCTTTCATCCATCTTTTATTCTTTTTGCCTTTTTTTCATTCTTGCTTTCTATTATAAATTAAAAAGTAGAGTTTCTCATTTTTTTTCCCTTTTTCCATCTTCTCTTCCTCTTTCTTTATCTTCCGCTTTTATATATTTTGTTCTTTGTGGTCCATTTTTTTTTTATTCCAAACGTCTCTAACACCACTTTTCCCGCGTTTGCCATCATTTGTTAGGTGGCGCGTCAATCGCTCATAGAAAAAATGGTGTTCCAACTGTTTTTGGTCATGGCCGCTATTGCTATTGCTTCTGTTTTTGTTGTTGTTTTTGATTGTGTTGTTTCTTTGCTGACAGTAGCCATAAGGCTTTGGAGAGGGCGGGGTTAAGTCCGAACGAAATAAACAAAGAATACGGAAGGGGGGTAAGAAGAGGGAAAAATGAAAAGAAAATGGAGGAAGGTCAAAATTGGAGGCCATAACAATAATTATATTGCTGTGATGTGGGTGCAAGCGGGGAGTTATAATACAATGGGCCATCTTTGTTTTCGACTTATCAGGAGTGAACTAAGGAAATTGGGTAAAAGGCAAGGTGAGGAGAAGAAAAAAGAGGAAGTAAACGGTGCAAATCCAGAGCATAAAAAAATAAAAAGTAGAGAAAAAGATGAAAGACTGACGAATTAAAAAAGAAAGGACGAAAGAAGAAGAAGAAAAAGAAGAAGAAGAAGAAGAAGAAGACGATTATGAAGAAGAAGAAAGGATAAGAAATTACGAGAAATGAATCATGAGTGAGAAAGGAATGTTTTAAGAAAGAAAGAAAGCAAGACAAAAAGAAAAGAGGAAAGAACCAATAGTTTGCATATAAATTAAGGATAAACAAAATTAAATAATAATAATAAATTATTTAAATATAAAAGATGGAGAATATTATGAAAAATGAAGAAAATCATTTTTCAAAAGAAGGAGAAAGAAAGAAAGAAAGAAAGCAAGAAAGAAGCAAAAAGAAAGAAAGAAAGAAAGAAAGAAAGAAGCGAGAAAATGAAGAAAATCATTTTTCAAAAGAAGGAGAAAGAAAGAAAGAAAGAAAGCAAGAAAGAAGCAAAAAGAAAGAAAGAAAGAAAGAAAGAAGCGAGAAAGAAAAGTATAGGTAAGAAAAAACGAAAGGAGAGTTAGAGGAAGCATACAGTTAAAGGCAGTTAGGAAAGGACCAAAAAAGAAGGGGAAAAGAAAGAAAGAAAGAAAGAAAGAAAGAGAGAAAGATGGATGGTACAATAGTTAATTATTTATAAAGAATGACGGAAAACAAAAATAAGGTAAAATATTTATAAAAAGAGAAATAAGGATAAAGCAGTAAAAAGTATATAAAGAAATATTAAAGAAAGAAAGAAAAGTGAAGTAAAGCGTCAGAGAAAATAACCGAAAGAGATTAAGAGAAAGAAAAAAGAAGAGGAGAGAAAAAAAAGTCTAAGTCAAATAATGTTGCAAAAAAAAAGAAAGAATGAATGAATGAAAGATCGTCAACATAAAAAGGGATTGACAGAGAGTGAGAGTAGAAAAAGAAAGAAAGAAACATTGTACGAATAATTAATTATACATAGAGAATGAAGAAATAAAGCGAATCCAAAAAAGTAGATATAGAAAGAAAAAAAAAAGAGACAACACAAAAGAATAAATAAAAGAAAAAAAAAAAAAACATAAAAAAAATTGTAAATAAATAAATATTAAAAAAGAAAGAAAGAATGAAAGACAAAAAGAGAAAAAAAGAAAGAACGAAAAAGTAAAAAAAAAAAAAAACAGAGAATATAAAAAAAAGAGAGAAAAATCAGAAAGGTGAATCTTCTTGCAATAAATAATCTGAAAACAAAAAAAAAGGCGAAAAAGATAAAAGTTTGAATCAAATAAAGAAAGAAAGCATGAAAGAAAAAATCAAGCATACAAACAAACAAACACACAAACAAAAGAGATAGGAAAGAACTGTGCGTGTTCAACGTGGCTTTCTACTAATGCCATTTAATAGATACGACCGGCCACTGAAATATGGCTCAGCCGATTCGTTCTGTCCGTCTACCCCGACCCTTCCGAGCAAAACCAAAAAAGGAAAAGAAGAGGGAAAAAGTAATCAAAAAGAAGATGGACACAATCAAAACGGTAATATGGCAGAAAGGGTCAAGCTATTCCCCGCGCTGCGCCGATATGATCAGGGGAGCCTCTGACAACCATTAGTGGCCGTGAGTGTGGACAGACATCCAATCAAAGTGCCGCTGACAGAGTCACTTGATTCGGCCGGCCTACGTCAAAAGAAATGAGCCAGGCGCCCGATGATGGTAATACGTCAAATGCGAATTGTCTGGAGGAATTTCGCCCGCGAAAACGTGGCATCCACTAGCAGAAGCTATCTCTGAAACGAATGTGAAAGAACGGACGGTGGGCGTGTTTAATAAAATTATGGTCTTCGCTAATGGTGCGAGGGAGGAAAAAAAAAGAGAAAAGATGCAAAAAGAAAGACGATAAGGAATGACGTAAAGAAAAAAGGAATGAAAAAGTAGGAAATAAAAAAAGAAAGAATCAATATAAAAGAAGCGATCAAGAAAGAAAAAAAGATTAAAAAGGGAGAAAATAAATGAAAATATAAAAAGTACTATTCAAAATTCAAAGAAAGAATAATAAGAAAGTATGAAATCGATAGGTTAAAGAAAGAAAGAGAAAAATTAGCGAAGAAAGAAAGAAAGATGGAAAGAGAAAAATGAAAGAGCGAGAAATAACAAATATATAAATAGAAAGAAACTAAGAAAAATAAAACATGAAAATTATGGAAAAACAGGAAGAAAGAGAGACGAGAAAGAGAGACGAGAAAGAGAGACGAGAAAGAAAGAAAGAAAGAAAGAAAGAAAGAAAGAAAGAAAGAAAGAAGGGGCAAAAGAAAGAAGAAAATAAAGGAAGAAATTGACGGGAAATAAAGGAGATATAAATAGAAAGAAAGAAAGAAAGAAAGAAAGAAAGAAAGAAAGAAAAAAGAAAGAAGTGAAAAGAAAGAAAGAAGTGAAAAGAAAGAAAGAAAGAAAGAAGAGAAGAGATGAGAATGAAAGAAAAAAAGAAAGAGAGGAAATAAGAAAGAACGAATGAAAGAAAGAAGAAAATAAAGAAAGAAATTGACGGGAAAAAAAAGAGATATAAATAGAAAGAAAGAAAGAAAGAAAAAGGCAACGCTCATGATGGAACTAATTATCTGAAATGAAACGAAAGACTGAAAATAAATCGACCTTTCCCATCTCTGAACGTAGAAGCAAAATGATATCGAGATGGGCAGGGAATGACGAAATGGCATAAAATTCAATGATCCAAAATGGATTCTGATTTTCGAAGAGCAAGAATCCATTTCATAGTCAAATTAAGACTTAAAGAGCTGGGATAGGCTGGCCTTGTGATTGAAATAGATATGTCCTGCTGGTGACATAAGGTCGATGCTTCTACCGCAGGTAAGACGGCCATATTTCCAGTGATCATTTCATGCAGACAGGTCATCGCATTTTCAAAGATTGGTAAATTGCCCTAGTTGCCCTTGCATCAGTTGACCAAAAAGAGATGGTGAAGGGAAAGCAAAAACTATGAAAAACATTTCAAGAACTAAGAAAGCTGATAAGCATGATGATATTGGTCGGACCCTTAATAAGTGGAGCACCGGTATGAGAATATTCAAGATGAGAGAAACTGGGTATTGGAGTATTAATTGAAACTCTCCAGATTATGACCTTCCAGGGACTTTTAAAGATACTGAGGAGGGTGCTAGAGTTTTAAGGTATATTTATTACTCAATTTTCCTATGATAACTACCAGGGACCTTATGTGATTATTCAAACACAAGAAGAAGAATTACTAGGTCTACTGCTGCGACTACTACTACTATTACTCTTAATAATAATAATAAATCTGCAACTTCTACGGGAAGGAAACTGAAAGAAATTGGTATGAACACCACGCAGACCCGGTGACGGAGATAGGATCTGTTACAATTCTATGGGACTACACGATACACACTGACAGAACAATCAAGGCCAACCGGTCAGATATTGTTATTAAAGACCACAAACAAAAACGATGCCTCCTTATTGATATGGCAGTCCCTGCTGACTGCAATGTATCTTTGAAGATATTCAAAAAGTTGTCAAAATACAAGGCCCTTGAAAATGTGGCATATGGAAACATCAACAATCCCTGTTGTAGTTGGAGCCCTAGGACTGGTTGGAAAAGATTGCAATAGACTAAGTGAAGGGATTCCTGGAAGTCCATGCCTCAAAGAGATACAAAAAATTGTTCTGACAAGTACAGCCCACACCTTACGAAGGGCTTTATCTATGTAATTTAATTTTTTTTTGTCAGTGGAAAGTGTCATGACGCCATTTCTAACCTTAGGTCCCTAGGCGGGACCCGGAAAGAAATGTGTAAACGCCAGAAATCAAAGAAAATAAAAATGATAATAAAAATAATAATAATAAAATTGACCATTGTATCAGGTTGCACAGTTTTAGCCTCCACTGTCCTCGGCATGATAGAGTGGGCCAATATCTACATTGAAAAATATGCAACCTTTACGGGCAGAAAACTGCAAGAAGCTGGTATGGACATCACACAGACCCTGTTACAGAGATAGGACCTATAACAATTTTATGTGATTTTACATTGCACACAGAAAGGATAATCAAAGTTAACTGCCCAGACATCGTGATCAAAAACCTCAAGAACAGAATGTGATTTCTTATTGATATGGCGCTCCCTGTATCTTCAAAAAATACTATCAAAATACAAGGGTCTTGAAATGGAAATCTAAAAACTGTGCCACATAGGGCCATCAATAATTCCAGTTATTGATGGAGCTTAGGATTGATTGGAAAAAGTTCCGGTAGATTGTTTAAATTTCAGACGACGCATTATGAAGAGCTTTATCGATGTAAAATGTGTATGATATTTTTTTTTTTCAAAAATGATTATATATATTTAAAAATTGTAACATAACTATGTTATAACATAACTACATATTTTTTTTTTTTTTACTTACAACACCATCACGTGACAAAACACCAGAAGTGTTGAAACAAAAAGGCTATTTGTGTTGTCGTTCGAGAGACTATGGAGTAGCGCGGAGAACTAGGGCTTCCCAGACGCCTAGTTCCACCCTCTCGGCCTTGCTATCAGACTCCAAAGGAGCGGATAAACCAATACAGCAGAGGTTGCCGGAAGGTAGTACAAAGTGCCGTCCATCCGCCTTAGGGGCTCCACTCCGGGTTTGAATTCAGAGTTGTCCTTCTCCTAGACCAGTTGCCAAGGCTATAGAACCCAGTCTGTCCTGCTATTTACCCACAGCTGGAGGGAGAAGAAGAGGATTCACACCTTTCCTAAGGATATTAGCTAGTAAGTGCATGTAATGGATTCGAACTCGACTCTCCGATTCCTCAATCCAAGCCGCTATCCATTACTCCACCTTTCCTCTTCCTTTTTGTAGTGATGTTATAACATGCTTATGTTATAATTTTTAAATATGTATTATTCGCTCTACTTTGTATTGAGCACTTTTTTAAAAAAAATAGGTTTTTGGTTACTGGAAATTTATTCCATCTATACCAACCTTGAATTCAAAAATGAATAGTGGAAAATGTCATGAAGCTATTTCTGGACTTAAGTAATAATATAACTATAAACCGTCTTTATTTAATAACAAATTTGTTTCAAAAATATACACAGACGTTAAAGAAATTTGGGATCCCGAAAGAAAATTGTATACAACAAACATCAAAGGACATAATACTAATAATAATGATGAGCTAATGACTAGATTCGTAGCACAACAAATTAGAAAGTTTAAAATAATTCAGAAGACAGTATCCTTAAAATCAGCTATATACTGTGGAGATTGCTCGACTAGTTATATTCATACGCGCAAGTACCCTTGGGAAAAGTATGAATCTACCTTTTCTCTTCCAGCTATGGGTTAATTAGATGAACTTATATCAGTAAATCCCTATTATTTTTAAAAATATTTTTACAATGTAAAAATATTTTCTGGCTTTAAATGACCTACAAAAGGTTGATAAACCGTAAAAGAGCAAATCAATCTTACAACTAGCGGATCCGGTATTTTAACCTAGATTGTTTGACCAGTTTCCGATTAACAATTTCAAGTTGTTATCCATTACATCTCCCGCAAAACTAAGTTAACAGCAACTTGTATTTATAAGTGGTCACTCACGTAAGTCTTGAGCAGGGTCAACGTTGCTTAACTTCGGTAATTATACGAAAACCGGTCTGTCTATATTTCTGAGATGAGGTATTATGTACATTTTTTACATTATTTAACATGTCTAAAACTGTGTGTACGCTATCCCGTGCAGCTGCAGAAAGGAATATAAAGGAGAGACATGCCGCCCCCTCAAGGTAAGGCTTCAAGAACACCAGAAAGCTGTAACACGAGGGAAAGTAGAAAAATCAGGCGTGGCTGACCACATATGGAGAGAGAAGGGAGATCACCGCCCTCTGTGGGATCAGGTTGAGATCATTGACAAGGAACACCATTGGAAAATTCGTAAACTTAAGGTATCAGCACATATGCTAGGCCACAAAAATCTCCTGAGCCGACCAAGCATAGAAATAAATACAATATGGGAACCAGCAGTAAGGAGTGCCAGAGAAAAGCAATAACAACAAAGTTGCAATATGAGCTCTGGTAAAAACATGCAATGATAACAGCAAAATTGCAATATGAGCACTGGTAAAAATGGTGGCTGAAGACATTAGGTTTATAATACCCAGAAATTCATACAAGCCACAATGGACACATGGCACAGTGGATAAAGGCGTTGGTTATATCTAATAACAGGACCCAAAGAGTGTGAGTTCAATACCCGGTTAAGCCTGTGGAGAACTTTCAGAGGAAAATTAGCAGATAACTGACATCCATAATGTAAATAATGTACGAAAACCGGTGTTTCAAAATTATGTGACTGTAACTATTCTTTTTCCCTTCGGATTCCCCTGGCAAAAATGACGGCTTCTTCCAAGATCCTATAACCTCTTCAACGTGTATTTGGGACAGTAGTAGGGTTTTATCTGTTGTTTCCTGTTAAGGATGAGGTTTCCGGTCCCTTCTAAAGTCTACTTCAACTCTATACTTCCAACCTCTCCATATAAACTCTTATTTATTATTTTTTCTCAACAGGAGTAGATAGGTTCACATATTTTCAGGTCCACACTCGTAGGATTTTTTAACAGGAGTATAGGTGTACTATTTACATTATTCGGACTATTGTCCTCATCTTTGTTGCCATATTTATTACAACATTTCGGCTTTTCAGTATCTGTCTATATTTCTGAGATGAGGTATTATGTACACTATTTACATTATTCGGACTATTGTCCTCATCTTTGTCGCCATATTTATCACAACATTTCGGCCTTTCAGTATCTGTCTATATTTCTGAGATGAGGTATTATGTACACTATTTACATTATTCGGACTATTGTCCTCATCTTTGTCGCCATATTTATTACAAAGTTTCGGCCTTTCAGTATCTGTCTATATTTCTGAGATGAGGTATTACGTACACTATTTACATTATTTCGGACTATTGTCCTCATCTTTGTCGCCATATTTATTCCAACATTTCGGCCTTTCAGTATCTGTCTATATTTCTGAGATGAGGTATTATGTACACTATTTACATTATTCGGACTATTCTCCTCATCTTTGTCGCCATATTTATTACAACATTTCGGCCTTTCAGTATCTGTCAATATTTCTGAGATGAGGTATTATGTACATTATTTACACCAGGCAATTTCACACGAGAATGGTACATTCTCAATACCGGTGGGTTTTGTGTTTATATTGCAAATTTACTTAAAAATTCAACTTCTTTTAAAAATGATTCTTATTAAACAAAGGTCACATGATGTTGTTAAAAGAAATCAGAAATAAAGTTATCTGCTTAAAGTTGGATAACTCTTGGTGACTCGTCTATATTTCTGAGATGAGGTATTAAGTACACTATTTACATTATTCGGACTATTGTCCTCATCTTTGTTGCCATATTTATTACAACGTTTCGGCCGTTGTACGCTCCGGCCTTCTTCAGGTGGTTGGAATGTCGAACTGAACCCTTTATTTCGCTCACTGGTGTAGACTGTTCTAGTTCCACAAGCTATTTTTTTTAATGGATGTCAGTTATCAGTTATCTCCTATTAATTCCCCTCTCCAAGTTCTCCACTGCCTTAACCGGGTATTGAACACACACTATTTGGGTCCTGTCACTGGATCTAACCAACGTCTTCATGAGTCGAACTGATTTTTTAAAAAAGTGCAATGTCAACAGTTATCTATCCTGACTATCTAAAAATTTTAAGTCCTTATGGAGAGCTCCATTCAGTAACCCACGACCTTGTCTCGATTTTTGGTCTTTCATTGGGTGAAAAATAACGTAGACAAAATCTCATAATATCAGACACATCGTCTCAGAGAAAAACTTTTCGGTATCACGTTATGTAGCCATGTTGTCAAACGATGACTAGTGGTGAAAACTAGACATTTACTATTATATATTTGTGGCCTCTTACGCTCTTAAATTTTGTTTCACTTCGCCGTCTACTGTAAATCAAGAGTTAGCAAATTTCTTTTTTTTTTCGCTTCTTTTTTTTTTATTCAATTCACCCCAAACAAGGCAATAATGCCACTAAAGCACAAAGGACGACTGGGAGTTAAAAAGAATGAGGATTCTTTAGAATGAACAGGAAACCCAGTCCTAAACAGGAAACAACGAATACATTTCTACTCCTGTTCAAAAGACCGGGGAGGGAATGAACAGGGCGATGCTCGAACCTGTCTTCTCCTGAATTTCTTATATGCAAGTTGCAAAAATAATCTACGCGTAACGATGAAAAACAAGATGTCTGAAAAACTAGTCAAAAATTGGGTTTGCAAGTTTACAAAACATTTCCACAATGTATTGAGTTTGAGCCTCACTATGTGCCTCATAATCTCTATCAACCGTTTCCTAACACTTGCTGTATTTTATTCAAAAGTCTCCCGAAATTATTTCTTTCTTTCGCTTATTCTTTATTTGTTGCTTTTGTATATTTCTTTTTTCGCTTTTCTTTTTCGTTTAATTTATTCTTTATTTTCTTCCTTTTCTTTCATTTCCACTTTCTTTTTCTTTCATTTCTTTTTTGCATTCTTTTTTTCTTAGTGACATTTTCTTTTCTTCTTTCATTCTTTTTTTTATTTCTTCTCTTTTGTTTTATTCTTTTCTTCTCTTTCTTTTTTTATATTTCCTCTCTTTCTATTCCACTCTCTTAATAATCCCTTACTCTTCTATATTTTTCATTTTTTTTATCTTTCCTTCTTTCTTTTGCCTCTTTCCTTTTTTTTTCTTTTCATATCTTTCATCTCTTTCTTTTCCCCCTCTCCTTTTAACGCATTTACTTCTTCATTCTTTTTTTTTTATCTTTCATTCTTTGTTTCTTTATTCATAACGCCTATTTTGTATCTTTTGTTTTTATTTTTCTGTTTACCACTCTCTATAATTCCTTAGTCTTTTATTATTTTTATTCCAACCATTTTTCAAGATTTTTTTTATATATAATTCTGATCTATTTGTTCTTTTTCTTCCAATGTTCTTCGCCGTTTCTGGAATGGCGACAGCTTTTGAAGAGCAAAGGAGAGGGAAGTGAAAAAGACTCACAACTGAAGTGTCGAACGACAATTTTTGATATTTTCCCTGAGTGATTGTCGAGCGACAACTTGGGCGCGGATTACTCATGAGAAAATTCCATGAGTACGAAGAGGCCTGATTCGTGTTGACGTCCCAGTTCTAGTGCTCTCTTCTGCAGTCGATTCGGCTGGACATGGCTCCATTTCATCAGGACACCGCCGGCTGAATTATTGAGACAGTTTTGCACGTGATGAACAACAGACTTAATTCCCCTAACTGATTCGGCCAGACGTTTCTTCACCTCCTTCCACGCAACCAAGGACGGGCACCTGAAAAACTATGCACGCATTTTAGCGCTAAAATCGCAGACCATTGCAAAGATACACGAAGGTAGATGTGACAACACGCAAATGGTCCGCATAAAAAAAAACAAAAAAACATGCTGACATACTCTCGTGTCATATACTCTATATATCTATATACATACGCACACCCGTCTATACAAGTGTAGAAAAAAAGAAAGGATGAATTAATGAATGAATATATAGTAATAGATATGAACAGACGAAGATGGATAGATAGATATGAAGAGAATGAGATAGATAGATAGATAGATAGATAGATAGATAGATAGATAGATAGATAGATAGATAGATAGATAGATAGGTATGAACATAATGAGATAGATAGGTATGAACAGAATGAGGTAGATAGATAGATAGATGTGAAGAGAATGAGATAGATAGATAGATAGATAGATACAAAGCGAGATAGATAAATATGAACAGAATGAGATAGATAGATAGATAGATAGATAGATAGATAGATAGATGATGAATGAATGTGAGACAGATAGATAGATAGATAGATAGATAAATAGATAGATAGATAGATGTGAACAGTCTGAAAAGTTAGATAGATAGATAGATAGATAGATGATAGATAGATAGATAGATAGATGTGAACAGTCTGAGATAGATAGATGATAGATAGATAGATAGATAGATAGATAGATAGATAGATGGGAACAGAATGATAGATATGAAGAGAATGAGATAAATAGATAGATACGAGTGATATAGATAGATAGATAATAGGTTGTTTAAGATAGATAGATAGATAGATAGATAGATAGATAGATAGATATGAAATGTCTGACATAGAAAGAAAAACACTCATTACTTAAGTAGAAAAGCAAAACTACGAGGTTCTGTGTCCGCCCCTTTCCTCCAAATCTGATCAAACATTGCATATATTTTATAATTTGTTCGTAAGACCGAGAGTTTGTCAGCACTTCCTCTTTTACACAAAACAGACACACACATACTTACATAGATGCACACACACACACACTCACACATACATACATATATGTACAAATAATGACAAAAGGTAAAATTCATCGTACATTTTGAACATGCCTTGATGGTGTCCATCAGAGGACGAAACGTGTCTACATTTCTTTTTTGTTTATTCATATTATCGTTTTACATATATATTTTTGAAATATCTGAAATGTTACACACACACACACATATATATATATATATATATATATATATATATATATATATATATATATATATATTAAAAATCAAACTCAGCGTTGCTATTGCACGCTCCAAAACAATAACTCATTTCCAATAGCATTTTCGGATACAACAATACATATATTTTCGTTGTCCTCTTATTACTATTTCAAAAAAAACAAGAACAACATCTATTCCATACTTGAAGATGTCTGTAGGAACAGACGAAAGCTTGTAGTAAAAATAAGAACTAATGCGGCAGAAATTTATAGAAACAAGGATCTTTTCATTCATAACGGATTCGGAGGTTTTTTGTATATTATTTGAATTGTTTGCGACGATGGATTTCTCTCAATTAAATCATTAACCTTTGCATTTGTTTTTGTGTGAATAATTCATGAATTTGTAAATTGATTGCGTTTATCAAAAATATATATATATATAATATATATATATATATATATATATATATATATATATATATATATACAAAGGAAAAACAACACATCTCGAAAAATTTTAAATAGATTTATTTCAGCAGGTAAGTTTTTTCATACCTGCCTACTAGGATTATACTTTCGACTTCTGGATTTGATATTATATATATATATATATATATATATATATATATATATAGATAGATAGATAGATAGATAGATAGATAGATAGATAGATAGATAAAATACTGATAGAGATAAAATTATGTAATTTGTCATATAACAAGGTGAGCATAATTTTATCGACAGCGTTCAATGGATATTTCCACCAATAATTATCATAAATAAATAAAAATTACACAATTCTCATCTATGACCGACTAACAGTTTTGTGATGGTTCTGATAAGAATATTTTATTTTTGACAATAATGCAATATATATATATATATATATATATATATATATATATATATATATCAAGTATAAATTCCAATGATCCACAAGTACTATTCTTAAACGTGTGCTAAATACAGAGTAGAGCAAATATAATTATTTATTCGAAAATTATAACATAAATATGTTATAAAATCACTACAAAAAATACCCATTTTGTTTCAACACTTCTGGTGTCTTATCAAGTGATGATGTTTAATGTATAATAAAGGGTTTTAAAAGATTCTAATCAATCAAACACCCCTCGCAAGGGGAAACGCTGTTACATAAGCTTGAATGAACAATCAAAATACAAATATATGAGAATTCAAAAACTTAACAATGAACTTTGGTTATAATAGTTATTTAATACTTTGATGTTAGGGTTAAACTAAAATAGAATTAATTTTAACTAATAAATATTAAATTATACTATAAAATTAAAAATTATCAATTTTAAATTTAATCTATATTTAGTTTAAAAGTATAAAATCATTTAAAGAAGAAACTGTGGAAAAAAGTACATGTTTTTTCCTATTTATTTTGTTTTTATTGAAATTAAGAATAAACGGTAAGATTTAATGTTGCTCTGAACTCCGTTACAACTTAGATACATAGGTAGGGGAGGATGAAATCTTACAAAAGACAATATATACATAATCAGATTATAATACACAAACACGCAGACATATTTAGATATATAAACACGCAAAAAAGCGACGAGACAGGAAATGTGTCCACGACTCTTAAAAAAAAAGTCAACATACACGCGCAATGAAAGGCACATACAAGCGACCATACACCCCCCCACAAAGACACACACATACACACATATACATTGAAAAAGACACGCCCATGCAACCTCAAAGAAATATCCAATTTTGAAAGTGTTATTAAACGAATTCAAACATCCTATTAAAATATAACTTATACGAGCAAAGATATATAAATAAAAAATGGTTGAATAGATAATGTTCAACATGGGCAGTACAGAAAAAACACACATTCTATATATATATATATATATATATATATATATATATATATATATATATATATATATAATTGATAATGTTATTAAGCTTATCAGACGATATGAAAGGAATTTGCATAAAAATAAATGGACAAAACTTGTCTATATTATTTAATAAAACATGCATCAATAAAATAATGCTGCCTAAATACACACAATTTAAATTACATGATCCAGCAGTCTATCAAACTATCAACACTTGGAATTATAAATATAGCCTTGTGAAAATGCAAATTGAAATATCCAAAGAAAAATCGAATACCATTAACAGCAACAAACAGGATATCGATGATGCCATGTCCGTGTATTGTTTAATATATTGTAATGTTATTGTCATCTTTGATAACGGCTTATGTAAGCCGAAAGCTTAGATAGGATTAAAAAAACATGTATCAATATGGTGATTTTCTTTCGTCTTTCAATGATAATGTTATTAAGCTTATCAGACAATATGAAAAGAATGTGCCTAAAATAAATGGACAAAACTTGTCTATATTATTGAGTGAAACATTCATCAATATATATATATATATATATATATATATATATATATATATATATATATATATATATATATATATTAAAAAGAAAGAGACAAACCGCAAACGCTTTTGGTTGTAATGTCCATTTTTTTTTTAAATATCCACATGACAACCAAAAACGTTTTACAGTTTCTCTGTTCTTTAAATATACACACTTTTTTTCTCTCGTTGGAACTACTATAACCTCTTTATATATATATATATATATATATATATATATATATATATATATATATATATATATATATATACATTCAATACCATCAGGGTTATTAGCTCTTCTTCTAATATGTTGTTCGCTTCCCGGGCCTTTTCGCTTGTCGATAATCTCTTCCATATATTGCTTATAATGCCTTTATTAAGCCTTAGTCTCCTATAATATACGATATCGTAAATTGTTCCGTTCAAATAAAGAAGAATTGCAAACACCCAAATTTAAGACTAGTTTTATTCGGATTTTTAAAAAATTATCTCTGTATGCATGTGTGTGTTTGTGTCTATGTCCTATCTGGACTTACGTGATCATGGCTCTCTACAACATCCTGTCTTTTGTAACTCTAAATAATCTTTTGTACTTAATCACCCCTTTTTGTCTTTGATCTGGCACCCATTCGCACAAAACCATTGATTTCACCTACATCGTTTTAATCTTCACTATGTCCTCTGTCTTAATTTCCTTAAGACCTTTTTCTTATGTATCCCCAGAAGTTTCAAATATCCCGTTTCTGATTGTGTGTATCAGTTTCCTTGCAATTCCTATTATCCTGTAAGACTTCTACGTTGCTCAAATCTCCTAACTATGCCATTCTTAGTACTCATCGATAGAACCACGTCATTGTCGCTTCAAGTCTCTTCTTCATCAGAGAAAGGATTGTTATTTTATTTATTACTTACAAGAAGTTCAGTGTTACTTATTTTAAAATTAACATTTGAGTTCCCAGTCAATATTGTTCTTTGTTCTGTTTGGTTGGTTGTTTTGTTTTTTGGCATATCAAAACCTCAGTGGGTCATTCAATGCCATCAATTTTTTTTAAATAGATACATTGCGATAGTTTGGTAAAAAAAAAAAAGGTGTGTATGTATACATATATACGTGAACCATTTTTCAATTACTCATATTTTTGACTTGGCTTGTTTTGTTTTATGGCATATCAAAACCTCAGTGGGTCATTTAATGCCAACAAAATTTTTGAAATAGATACATTGCGATAGTTTGATAAAAAAAAATGTGTGTATGTATACATAGATATATATTTGAACCATTTTTCAATTATTCATATTTTTGATTTGTTTTGTTTTGTTTTATGGCAAATCAACCTCAGTGGGTCATTTAATACCAACAAAATTTTTGAAATAGATACATTGCGATAGTTTGGTACAAACGGTGTGTATGTATACATATATATTTTAACCATTTTTCAATTACTTATATTTTTGATTACAATCGCATGTTTTGCTGGTAATAGTTTTTTATTGTCTTTGTTTTTTCAAAAATGTATTGCTGGTAATAGTTTTTTCAAAGTATTTCTGGTATTAAGACCTATTTTTACACTTATAATGCTTTTACCTCAGTTTCGGAGTGAACCTGGGAACATCAGCAATTAAGAGGTGGTTCCACGCTCCTCAAAGCCTCCTTATTAGAGGCCTTTCTGTTGGACGTAGTTTATTGTCTTACCCTGGACGCGGATGGAGTTTGTCATACCAGGGGCGGCCCATTGGGGGTCTTTGTTCTGTCATAGAATCGATAGGCTTACGGCCGTATCATGAAGAAATACCGGTTCTCGGAGGATCACTGAAGCTGAAACGTTGAGCCTGTTCAGTACTTAGATGGGTGACCTCTTAAGTATACAAGACGCTGTAAGCTTCGGATGACATAGTGGATAACGTCTCGGAATTTTTAATCTCAGAGATGAGTTCCACAATCCAGTCTTGTTCGTTATATCCACACGAAAAAATACCATAGTTATGAATGTACATCTTCCTCGCAGCTATAGATTAATTACTAAGACTTGTAGTAGTAAATTATTATTATTTCTAAAAGATCCTTACAATTAAAAATATTTTATGGCATTAAATAACATGCAAAAGGTTTGAACGCTGTAAAAAATCAATCATAAAATTTATTGCAATCAGCTATTTATTTTGATACATTTATCGTCATTTTTTTTTTGTCCACATCATCGGAGATGTTTCGACTTGAAAACA